ATGTGCAGATGACATACGAGAGTATGAAATAAAATGAGAAAGAGGATAACGAGTACCTGATTCAGAACTTGGTCTCGAGTTGGAATGATTGGCTTGTGATGACAGTATGTAGTCTTTATGCCATGTCGGAGGTTGCTTAACACGGAGGGATTGTCTTGCCGGAGCTATAGAAGGATCTATAGAGTTGGAAATATGTGTTGTCGACCTGGTTGAGGGACTAAGTGCGCTGTCAGGTGCACTAGTAGGTTCAGCCAGAGGTGAAGTTGCAGAAGTTGTAGGTTGATCATGTGAATTATCTGATGCTTCAGTGAGTTCGGGTGGATTAAATGGTTCAGGAGATATAGTAGAATTATCTGTATCAAAACACTCGACATGTTGAGGTTGGTGAGATGAAATGTTGGTGGAAGATGGTGGTATAAGCTGCAAATTTTCTGTCAGGTCCGAAGAAAAACTATGCATTGCAGAATCAAGATTTGGTGATATTGAGAACGGAAAAGTGGTTTCTAAAAATTTAACATCTCGGCTCACAAAAATTATTTTTTTATCCAAATCATAAAGTTTGTAGCCTTTTTGACCTGTAGGATACCCAACAAAAATACAACGTTTGGCACGAGAATCAAATTTATGAGTGGGATGAACAACTGTGGCGTAACAGAGACAACCAAAAACTTTCAAATGATCAAGTGATGGTGGATGATTATACAATAATTCAAAAGGTGATTTGGAAGATAATAATGGCGAAGGAAGTCTATTGATAAGATAGACCGCGGTCAACACGCATTCGCCCCAAAAGGTGAGAGGTAAGTGAGATTGAAAACGTAATGCTCTCGCAACAACTAAGATATGACGATGTTTACGTTCAACTACTCCATTTTGTTGAGGAGTTGAAACGCAAGTTCGTTGACATTCGATACCTTGCGACTGGAAAAAGTTTTTCATGGATAAAATTTCTCCGCCGTTATCTACTCTTATGGTTTTGACTGAGGCATCAAATTGGGTATGAGCAAATGCAATAAAAGATTTTACTAGATCTTGGGTATCCGACTTTTTTTTCATAAGAAACACCCAAGTGCACCTTGTAAAATCATCTACAATAGTAAGAAAGAAACGTGCCCCTGAATGTGTAGGCACCCTATGTGGACCCCAAATATCACAATGTAAAAGATCAAATGGATTATGAGTTGATATTGAACTTGATGAAAATGGAAGTCTAGTTTGTTTGGCCATAAGACAAACAGTACAATTATTCTCCAAAGATTCATTATGAGAAGGCAATGATGGAGAAACTAATTTAAAACAAGATGGTGACGGATGGCCAAGGCGCATGTGCCATAAATTTGAGGGTTGAGAAACTTGATGAGAGGCAGGTATCTTTTGCAAGGGAGACATGTAATAGAGGCCGCCACGCTGTTTACCCAAGCCAATCATCTTCCCCGTAACCAAGTCCTGTAAAGTACAGAAAGTGGGAAACAACATGGCACAACAATTCAAAGCATTAGTGACTTTGCTTGCAGACATCAAATTTAAGCGAAAAGAGGGAACACATAAAACATCATTTAAGGTGATCTCTGAGTTGAAAGGTATAGTGCCTGTGCAAGTGATAAAAGCTGAGGATCCAATGGGTAAGTTAACAATTGGTATTGACGGGGATTCTGTTTTGGTAAAAAGTGTGGAATCAGAAGCTATATGATCAGTAGCTCCACTATCCAAAATCCATGGTTTACTAAATATGGAATTAATTGAAACATTTGGAAAAAGAGAAGAACCTGCTGCATTTGCATAAGCATCGGCATTACCAGTGGCATTATTTTGTGTCATCATAAATAAAGCACGAGCGATTTGTTGAAGTTGACTTGTAGAAAGTCCATGTGAAGAACTGTTGCTCTCTTGAGTATGAATACCATGTGAAGTTTGGGAAGAATCCATAGCATTAGCAGATGGAAGGGTATTGTGCAAATTACCTTGGCTCCTACGTGAGGGTTGCTGGCCATTTTGGTTGTTTGATTTGTTTGAAGCCCAAGTGCCATTTTTAAACTTACATCTATCTTCTGTATGGCCCTTTTTGTCACAATAATTGCAATGAAATTTAAGAGTTCTGCAATTTTCAATTGTATGTCCCTCTCTGTTGCAGTGTTCACAATACTTATTTTTGAACTTGTTTGAAAAATTGATTGGACGACTTTGAACTGTAGCAGCAATGGAAAAATTTTCAATTGATTCCAACGACATACCTCGCTGCGTTTCTTCTTGTATAGCAAGAGAGTAGGCTTGACGTACATTCGGTAATGGAGACATCATGAGAACATTTGAACGGACAACATTGTAAGTGTCATTGAGGCCCATGAGAAATTGCATTACGCGATCTTCTTCCATCTATTCACCATGTGCTTTCATCTGGTTCCAAGTGGGGATAGATCGATGTGTGTCTAATTCATCCCAAAGACCTTTGAGTTTTGTAAAATATGCAGAGACCGACATTGTACCTTGTGAAAGAGATGCCAATGACTTTTGGATCTGATAGATAGCTGGTGCATTCTTTTGCGAGAATTGATCTCTAAAATCCTCCCATACTTGGTTAAGCGGTCTTAGCATGAATGACTCCTTTGGCTAGATCGGGCTCCACTGAATGTGTAAGCCATGATAGAACCATGTTGTTACATTGATTCCATTGCGCATATTCTGTTGGTTGTTCCGTCTCTAGAGGTGGTTTGATAGTTCCGCTGATAAAGCCAATTTTGTTCTTGGCTGTGAGGGCATGTATCATGGATTTACTCTATGATGGATAGTTGGTGCCGTTCAGTTTCACTGGAACGAGCATATGATTGGGGTGATCTGAAGGATGAACAAAATATGGATGAGATTGGTCCAAACCAATGCTTTGCTGGATGGTTTTTGAAGTATCAGATTGGTAGATTGGTGTTTCGTCTTTGTCGTTCACCATTTTCTCGAGAAAATGGTGGTTGCTCTGATACCAAGTTAAAAATGAAACAAAGAAGCTTCTGTGAAATAAGAGAATTAGCTGAAGATGTGTATTTTCATTTACAAAATTAGCTGCATATATATACAGATGCTAAGAATCAGTCTAAGCCTAATTTTAAGCTTCCATAATCGTGATCCACATTCTGTGGGATTTGATTTACAATTAATAAGGAAAGTAAATATACTACATTAACACAACATATTTCTTAACAATACTATCTATTGATTTGACTTATGTGTTGGGAGTAGATACGTTCTTGTTTTTCCGAGCGCTGTTCTTCTACGTAGGTAATACCTACGTCTCCGCTGGTACGTTCTTGATTTCCTGTAAAAATTTTCTGGTTAACTCACTTTAATTTGCTTCCATTGTTCCTTATTCAATCTCTTAACATTATTTAATCTTGAGGTTATATCTGACGGTCTGCCCGAGTGACCGCCCAGTTTGTACTTTAAATATGGAACTTCTTTTGTTTTGTGTTGTGTATTTCGTGTCTCGCTCTTCTGCTATTCCATCTTGTCGTCTCTTTACTCGCTTGTTAATAGGTGAGTTTTCTGTTATCTCTCTTCATTCTCTTTCTTTGGATTTCTATAGCTGCATTGATGGACTGCAGAGACACTGCTGGGATGTAGGAAATTATAAAAGGAAAAAGATCAAATCAAAGTTAAGAAAGAAGTAAGGGGACACTACTGGAGAACCTTCTCTGCAAAACATAAGTTTTTGGTACAGTAGAACTTTTGAAATGATAACACTGTGCTGGACTTCACTGACTACCAAATACACATGGAAAAAATCAAATAGCCATGCATGGTCTTCAATTTGTAACTCATAGTGCAAACTTTGTGTTCCAACTGTCGCTACACTTAGGTTATCAAACAAAATAGTATTAAAACATCGAAACAGTGCGGTTGTTCTCTTATTTTATTATGTGTGTATTTATTTTATCAGTCACCAAATTGATGATGTCCTCTTTTTGTTCTTCTCTTTTTCCTGTGTGGAGTTCTAATTGTTGTGCATGACGAAAGAGTAATCATCTTACTATTGCGTTACTTCTTATCCTAATTGTTGAATTAAAATTGCAATCCCCATTAGTTTTTTAATACAAGAGAAAGAAATCCATCTGCTTACGTAATCACAATTTAGGTATTTCTCCGGCATAGGCTATGTTAAGAAGTGAAAGTCAGAAGTGCTATATGAAATTAACGCCAGCCATATATTCTCTTGCCGAATATCTTGGAAAAAACTTCAATATTGTCTAAGTTTTAAAGCTTTTTTGGATTGATTACTTACGCCCTTAATATATAATCCTCTATTTGTCGAAAAGGATATCTTTGCACTATCTCTGCACTCACGTTCTTTGGAATTCGTCTTATTTTTGTTGCCAAAAAGATTTGCTACCAAAAGGACTAAGCAATTCGGCCCCAGCCAATACCAACATAAATTTGTATCTACATGTATGGCTGATTATTTCTCTGTATGTTGTATGTTGTTGTAGACAGTATAGGGAACCAATTTCCAACAGTAAATATATAGGGGAAAATTGGTGACTCCATGTCTCCAAAGCATTTTCTGCCTATAGTTGACAGGTTTATAAGTGTGCCTTATGCTAAGTTGTTCCCCTATGTTGTAGCTGTGAATTTTATCCAGCGATAAATTTAAGCTCTCCTGGAATTTATTGTGAATTAATCGTATTACCATTTTATGAATATTGGCTCAATTGTGAATACATCAACTTTTCGTGTTCCTAAACTGATATGCACGTATATTTTATCATTGACTAGGTATTCTGTTTTTGGGTTGCATTTTCCGCAATGCTTTATAAATTACAATTCCTATAGAGATTTGTCAGGAACAACATCGACTGAATAAGTGGGTAACTGTGGTTATGATGGCACTCATATTGTGCTTGTTGGTTGTTTGAACATGTTGATACTCTACATTTGTATGTCTCTCTATTTATATATGTACAAACTTTTATAAAGGTTCAAGAAGAACAGGCATACACGGTCCTATATAGGGAAAGACAGAGAAAAATATGGAGACAAGCTCGCCTGTTCTTCACTTACTTGATATCTACCGCAAAAGTAAGGGTTTCTTTACCGTACAGGGTACCTATCAAATTCGAATGGGTTGTCTTCGACGGATTCACTGTTGAAGAGGTTGAATACTTCTTTATTTTAAACATGATGCACAGGTGGAAAAGGTATGTTTTAGCATTTTGTGAATCCAGCTTTTAAACGGAATCATTTCCATGCAACTGACAAAAAAACACAAATGGTTTTTATGGAACTGTATCTGTTATTGGTATATTTACAACATGTTCTTTGTCGGTTGCTGACAGTAGTGGAAGCAAGCTAGATGCACAGGTTGCTGAATATCCAATAATTGGAGCAAAACAAATTGCACGAACTAACTATGCGGGTATGCAGAAACTTAGGCGTTTTTGTATCTGTAAAGAACTGTTATGAATTCTTTGTTGGAAAAAAAAATAATTTAGGAGAGCAAGACAACAAAACACTCAAACACTCACAACTCACTTTAAGAATGGAGAAGAAATGATATTTTTCATTCAACTTGACTTGTTTCAAATGGCTAGCATACATGGGTATTTATAGTAGAACTCCTACATGTATCTAGCCTAAACTTCATGTAAACACACTAACTAAATTCACATTAGTCTACACTAGTTCATACATCTCATAATGAAGTTCACATTAGTCTACACTAGTTCATACATGTAATGAAGTTCACATTAGTCTGCACTTGTTCATACATCTCATACTAATATGAACTAATCTAAACATATTTAATATAAATGTGAACTAATGGAAACAAGTTTATTATAATTTTAACATCCCCCCTTAAACTTGTTTCATCACTCCAAGTGCCATCCTTAGCTTTTGAAAAACTTCAATCTTTAATGGCTTGGTGAAAATATCCGCAATTTGATCTTGCGACTTCACATGCTCAAGCTCCACAACTTTATTAAATATACAATCTCTAATAAAGTGATACCTTGTATCTATATGCTTGCTCCTTTCATGAACTACAGGATTTTTGGCTAACTCGATAGCCGACTTGTTGTCAACAAAAATCTTTGTGGCATCCTTTTGTGGTTGGTGAAGTTCCTCCAACAAACTTCTTAACCAAATTGCATGACAAACACATGAGCAAGCTGCAACATACTCCGCCTCACAAGTTGACAAAGTAACAATTGGTTGTTTTTTAGAATTCCATGTAAATGCAGAATTTCCAAGAAAGAAAACAAACCCAGTAGTACTTTTACGATCATCAATATCACCAGCCCAATCACTATCACAATATCCCACAAACTTAGAATCTTTAGAAGATGAATAAAGAATTCCATAATCAAGTGTATTTTTGATGTACCGAAGTATTCTTTTTGCTACCTTNAGTTATCTTTACATTCCCAAGAAAAATGACCAAATTTATGACAAGTATAACATTCAATATTTGATTTGTCATACCTTCCTTGATTTTGCCTCCATCCTTTCCCTCTTCCACGACCTCTTCTTGAATTAAAGTCTTGGCCTTTATTTTCTCTACTTGAAGGTGGTTGACTACCTCCTCTTCCGCCTCTACCACGACCTCTTCCATTTCCACGGCCTCTTTGTTGCGAGCCACGCCTTTCATCTTTCTCTTTGAAAGAAAATTTTGCTTGCAACGCTTGTTCAACCGATTCTTCTTTCGGTTTCTTCAACTTCTCTTCATGTGCTTGCAAGGAACTCGAAAGCTCGTCTATGGTCATGGTGTCCAAGTCTTTGGACTCTTCAATGGCAACAACAATAAAATCAAATTTTGAAATTAAGGATCGTAGTATTTTTGCCACGACCCTATCATCTTTCAACTCTTCACCATATCTTTTCATTTGATTGACAATAGCCAAAACTCTCGAAATATAATCCACAACATATTCATTTTCCTTCATATGCAATGATTCAAACTCTCCTCTTAAGGTTTGGAGGCGAACTTTTTTCACTTTGTCCAAACCTTTAAAAGAAGTTTGAAGAATATCCCATGCTTCCTTAGAGGTTGTTGCATTTGCAACCTTCTCGAACATCTTGTCATCCAAACCTTGATGGATGAGAGTGAGTGCCTTTTGATCCTTCTTCTTTGAGGCAACGACATCTTCTGCTTCATCAACACCGGACTCTACTGGTTCCCAAACATCATAGGCACCAAGCAAGGCCTTCATTCGAATACACCAATTTCCATAGTTCTCTTTTGTAAGCATAGGAACTTGGAATGGTGTTCCGTTAGAATTCGTCATCTTTTCTCCAAGTTTGTTATCTTCAACCACACCGGCTCTGATACCAAATGTTGGACAAAAAATAATTTGGGAGAGCAAGACAACAAAACACTCAAACACTCACAACTCACTTTAAGAATGGAGAAGAAATGATATTTTTCATTCAACTTGACTTGTTTCAAATGGCTAGCATACATGGGTATTTATAGTAGAACTCCTACATGTATCTAGCCTAAACTTCATGTAAACACACTAACTAAATTCACATTAGTCTACACTAGTTCATACATCTCATAATGAAGTTCACATTAGTCTACACTAGTTCATACATATAATGAAGTTCACATTAGTCTACACTTGTTCATACATCTCATACTAATATGAACTAATCTAAACATATTTAATATAAATGTGAACTAATGGAAACAAGTTTATTATAATTTTAACATTCTTTACTAACAAAAAGTCCAATATAGGATTATCGCTGTCAACAGGTATAACTCAGTCATACCGATAAATTCACTATATTTTCAAGTTGGAGAACTTATGAACTAGTATATATTGAATATTGACGTGTTCAGTTAACTAGAAGTTTCTAACAGTTTGACCCTATTTAGCTTCATTGATATCTTCTTGAACCATATTGCATTCGAGTTAACTTTTGTGGTATCTTTTGGGTCGCAATAAATTAACATCTTCCACTGTGTTCTCCTTTTGTTTGACGTTTAGTTGTCTATAAAAATTTTCAGCTTAGGTGCACTAACTGCAATAGCACTCATACTGTGAATTGCAATCTGGAAAAAAAAAGGTAATAAAAATTAAAGAACTTTGATGCAGCTAAGGTTCTGCACATAAGCCGAAAACAAGTGAATAATCTTCTCGACTTTTAGGTAAAAGTGAGGTTATATTCTCCTCCAAATGTACCTGAGCTTTAATGGGGGTATGCTGAAACTAATTTCATATGTGATTAATTACCAAGAAGCATTGTTGAAGGAGACAAATTTAGGTGAGAGTTAGAAGAAAAATCGTTGCTAAATTTGCAATTATTACATTAATAATTAAGTTGGTTATTGTCTCTATCATAGTAGCCATTTTGCAGGTCCAATATACAAAATAAAGGACTTTGCTTAATGGACAGAGAGAAAATGAGCAAGTTAATATCATTATTGTATTGTTTATGATGTTGGCATATATAGGGGGAGTTTCTCAGAAAAATAATGTAAAATATTTCTATTGATGTATGTAACTCCTCAGAGCGAGCTGAATATTTTTGCATGATAGCTTTTAACTGTGATATATATTCTCTTAGAGGTCGTTTGGTAGCTGGTTAGAAGAAAGGTTATTCATGTATAAGGGGTAACATAACTTATACCATGTTTGGTAGGCAATAGTTATTTTGTATAAAATTCTGCATAACTAATACCATGTTTGGTTGACATTTTTCAATTATGCATAAATAATACATGTATAAGTTATGAGTCAATCTGTGTATTATTTTATGCAGGGTAGAAGATGGAATAACTAATACATGTATTAGTAATACATGGATAAAATACTGAAATGACAAATTTACCCCTATCACTTTACACATAAGGCTTCCTTATTTCTCTGCCAACCCGTCAACAGGTTTCACTTGCTTTCACTTGCCAACTATATACCTTGTCTTCTCTCATTTTTAAAGAACAAACTAGCAAAAGCAAACTGGAGAAGCCACTAGAAAATGGAAATACCAAAACTAAGAAGTGAAAATCAAATATGTCTAAACTTCACATAGTTCAGTAGTATGACGAAGAAGTGAAAGTAACACCCAAAGTTCCTAACTAAATTGTTTCCTACATAAATGGAAAGAGAGAAAAAACAATGCAAAAGAAGGCCAGGGGTATAGTTGTAAACAAGCATTTTACTTTAAAATTTATATAATGTATATCAATTTCTAATACAACAAACCAAACATTCAAAAAAATAATCTCTGCATAACTAATACCTGCATAACTAATCCCTGCATTACTTATCCCTGCATAACTAATCCCTGCATAACTAATACATGTATAACTAATACCTGCATAACTCTAACCGGCAACCAAACGACCCCTTAATGTTATTCCTCTTAAGCTTCTGATAGAGAGAAGGTCAGTTGAGAAGTGAGTTAATGCTATATTGAGTGTATTATAGCTATGGTTAAGAATTACTAATGATTCACCAAATCTTTTGTGTTGAACTACTTCAGATTGCTAATGGCGTGTATTTGTCTGCTTGTTTTTTCTGTCAATTATTTGGTATTACTGTTGTCACTTGCTCATTTTGTTCCTTATTGAAACAATTGATTCCTAATTTTTCTACCTATCTAGAACTCCTTGCAGGTTATTATAGGTCATTTTAAATTTACCTGGTGTTTCGAAATTTACAGTGTTGGAGAAAACAAAAATATATTGGCTATATACGATCGGGGAACTTCTCTGCAAATAGTTCAATCACATGTTGTTGTGCCAGTGCTGGTTGACATAGTATCAATTGCAGAGATGCAGACGTAGTCTCCTATATGTGTGTCAAACACATGCTAATATGTGTATATTAGTGGCGCAGTTACAACTCAACGGAACTTCTTCTACTCCCTTCACAGATACAACTCTTTCACGTCGAAGGTGAAATGTGTTGGGTTCTGGATGTGTTTAATTAATATATTAAATACTTAAAAAAGGGTGAATGGGAAATGGAGGGAAATAAAATTTTTGAGTGAAATTTTAAGTTCCCCCTTGGCAAATGGGCATTGTCCCATATTGGAAGAGGAAGAGGTTTTTTATGGGTATATAAGCAATTGCTCTTCTTCTAGCTCTTAAAGAGTTGAGAAGAAGGCAAGCCTCGCGCCGTCGTCGTCGCTCGCTCGGCTTCGGCTTCGGCTTCGGCTTCGGCTTCGGCTTCGGCTTCGGATTTGGTCAAATGATTGATTGATTCAATTTTCCCTCTTTATTTTCCCTCTTTATTACTGAGTAAATGGCCATTTATGTAATGGCATTTATGCTGTGGGCGTTTTGCATAAACAGCCATTCTGAAGAGTTGCACCTCTTCAGATTTCAGCCTAACTTTGGCTATAAATACAACACTATTCTGCTCAGAATTTCACTACGATTTTCTGAGTTTCTTCTCCTTCTTC